CTGAGCCTTTGTTCCGCAAACTGCGAAACCTGAAGGACAAACTTCAAAGGTACGAGACTCACAAATCTCATTGAGACATGAGCAGACCCGTCAGTGCTCATTTTACACGCGACAACCACACCGCAGCGGATTTTCAGTGCAGGGGCCTTGAAAAAAATAAATTTTCTCGGACCCACCCGAACATCCACGCACGATCCGCAACAGAAAGAAAAGAGAAGCCTATTGGATCCACAATCTAAACACCATCCAACCATACGGACTCAACCTACGGGTCGAAATACCGGGATGGATAGAAGACTATCACAGTAACCCTGCCAACATGGAATCAACGTGAGGCTATCCCTAGCCAGACGACCCCAGGGTAGCGAGCATTTCGATTCACTTTTTAAACACACTATAATAACATATATATATATATATAATCAGGTATAGTATAAATTTGTTCATGATATTACTGCGTAATTTATGTGTATGCATTCTATCTCATCCATTACATTCATGTACAAGTTCGTGTACACTAGAGTAAGAGAAAGTAAACAACCCCCGTTTTCCCCTCAAGCAGCACCAGGTACTCTTGCTAACTGTTCCTAATCATACGACAGTGATGGGACTGATATATGATAACAGGAGAGTGATGGACAAAACAACAATGACAATCTCTATAAACCTTTATATCGCAGTCTGCATGCGAAAGAATTTAAGCGCCATGCAGCTTTATAGCTAGGATGTTCAAACATAATACAGCGTTGCTTGGTTATTTACCTGCATAATAATTTTATCTCTCAGAGATTCCAGTGGACAGCTGTCAGCATTCAAATACATAATGCATGTTACTGATACACATGTGACATAACATAGAAATAATTTAACTTAAGTTACTACAATCTTTTTAAACACTTTCAAGAAATTGTGGTTTTTACACTAAGCCAAGTGCATCCTTTATTTACTGTTGATATTCTCCCACTTAATGATAAATAAATAGTAAAACAATCAAGCAATATTTGACCCTAAAGCTTAGCGCAGGACTTGCTATGTAGTCTTAGCATAACAGAAGCAAGTTGATTGCAAGCACCTTTCGCTTATGTCACAACCATGCTAAGTTCTCATTTGAAATAAATGCTTCTCGCTAAGTGTATCTAATCTCTTGAAATACGTCTTAATACCCACTGACCTCTGACAACTTAGCTCCATATTTGGACTGACCATGTATTTTTTGCCACGACTGACAATATATATATATGCACGTCAAATATGAAAATTGTATGTGAAGCAAAGTGAATTGTAGTTGTGATTTCGGTTACTACTGATATTAACTGACAGTATCACAGTGTCACGCAATCACACCTGATTCCAATGACATATAGCCCTTACTTCTTCAAACTGAAATTCGGACTAAAAATTTATGATAAATATCAAACTGCCATCTGTTATTGCAATACAAAATGTGCGCATACAATGCTGGAGCTGCTTTAGTAGGTATAAAGACACGGTGGTGGACGTACATCACTGCGTGCTTATCAGCGTCACTATGGCAGCAATAATGCGGCTGCCGCGACTACACCCATAAAGGTCTAGATGGGGATTGTTGATCTTCTGTGCCATCAGCTCAGCCAGCTCCCGCCTCAGCTCCTTGACAAGCGCTGCTACCTGGAAGAAGAAATCGGCAATGTACGCTTCACATATATGTATACGAAATATAAATAAAAATTACACGCGCATTCTTTGCTTTAATTAAGCTAGTTGATGAAAATTACATTAAATTGTTATGAATGTGGAACTCAAAATTGATGTAACGTACATGCTGGGCATCAGGCTAAATACAGAAATTAATTACAATCCATGCTCACTTGGTATCAATGATGACTTGATAGTATATATTATTAGCAGGTTATATTGATATAATGAACCTCCAATAACCAACCCTCCCCAAGTGAGAAATTCTGTACTTAGTGTGATCCTTTATTCATTGATAGCACATTTGCCTTCGACAATTTTCAGAGAGCATCACGAGTGGCGTAAGCATGATTAATTGCAGCACATCTCTCTTAACGAATGCTAATAGACATCTGACACACAAATTTAATCTGCAAAAGACTGCTCAATGGTATGGACTCTCATGGCCCCACACGTTTCAGCAACATAGGATGTTGGAGAAATAGTAGTCACATAATACTGTGACAAGGTATTGCAAGCCCGACATTAAACTAGTGAACTCCCAACAATCAGAGAATAATATAGAAATGAGGTTACCATGGGAACATTACACGAGAATTGCCCGTATACAGGAAATAATATGTGTGTAAGAAATTATTGTTGGCATTAGCTGGTTCATTACCTGGTGTGAGGCGGATTTAAATCGTATCCACCCGTCATCCAGTGAAACGATGAAGGTTTCCATCTCCATCTCAATGTGTAGCTGACCCCCTCCAAACAGCAGCAGTGGATAGATGCCAACCATGGAGCAATCCCTTATGAAAACCTGTGGAGACAAAAAAAAAGAAGAGAAACCTCGTAAAAATACTACATGCAGCATTCACCCTATTTTCCTTGGTTTTATACACATTTATATACAGTAAAACTATAACATTTTATATGCATTGAACTGATTTCAGTGTCTCGCTTTTCATCAAGGTTTATTTATGGGTTTGCATTCCTCAGAGAAAATAACAGACCCAAGCCCTGCTGAAATGCAGTTATTTACCCTTGAGGTCTTTACTTTTTCATGATATACCAGGTATGGACTCTCATAGTGGCCTACTTGATGGTTCACTGATGAAGGATGAATGAAAACCTACAAACAAATGAGCATGTTGAGAGATATTCTTCTACAACATCTTACGTGCTTTACGTGGCAATTCTATTACAATTGTTCTTTCTGTCACATTAAAAGTGCATAGAACCATTTACAACAAATCAACAACAACAAAACATTAATTTAATACAATGCAATCTATTTCTGTTTTTCGATTATTATCACAAAATATTGCTGTTTCACAAATTAAGATAGTTTATTAAATTAAAAGGCACGTACATAACCATCCTCCTTGGTTTTAAACTTCAGATCGTCGGCTTTTGGCTGTTTAACAACAGCTCCTACAAAACAGTGCATATTTTTCAAACTACAGCTATCTCTTATGTGATTTATATTATCAGGAGCATATTATATTTTAGTATAGACACGTTCATGTAATTACTGATCAGTTGTGTTCTTCACAGGACGAATATTTCCAAATCAAAAATGTATAGCTCCAAATTTATGACAATATGAATATATTAATATTTCAGAAGATAAGAAACACTAATAAATAGGCAAATTGTTTAGAAAGTTGCCACATTGCCACATTGTTATGTTACATTACTATATCACTAACCTGTACTGCTTTGATGATACTTAATCTCAGGTGTGAGAACCTGAACCACGTTTGGGTAGAGGGCAGCACAGATCAATGCTGACACTAACTTTGTGCTTTCTGCATTCATATTCGCCTGCAAGTTCGCACACAATAACAGCAGCTCAGAATTCATGCATATTTAGCAATAGCATTCATTTTAAACTAACAAAATTTGAACAGATTTGTAACGAATTTGAACTGTATTTACACAATTACACCCAGAAGCAAATGTAAGTTTTTTTTAGATGGATTCAGCCAACAATTTTCCGAATTTCCTGATTTTTTCCCAACGATAATTATAATATAGATTGTACTCCTGTTTACCTCTACACCAGTACTTTCAAGTATGCCATCTCTTCCATTCTTTCCGGCTCTCTCGACTTGCCTGGCCTTGAGACCCTCTTTTACAAATCCTATACTAGATAATAGTTCAACAAACTGCCGCTTCATACTTGCAAGCATCTGAAGAAAAAAAACAAAAAAATGAAACAAAGACAGAGGGCACACTTAAGGGGGGGGGGGCATGACCAGGTCACTTTTTTTTTTAGCTGGAATTATCTCAGATACTAAACTAATAGGGCATTAAATAGTTTCTAAACATAAATATTTAGCCAATATACATAACAGAACGAAAAATATACATAACAGAACGACAGTAGATATTTTTTCCTTTTGTTTTTATATTATTCCTCTTAACACCCATGCCATATATGGAGGTAAATAGAACCATGAAACGTGAGAAAGGCTCCAGTAAGTGCTCCAGGCGAATATCAGCATTTAGGCAGGCAGAACAAGAGACAGAAAGCCATAGTAGTTTCTAAGTTTAACTAAGATTATATTAGGGTGGATAGAGAATGTTTATATTATATTATATATATATAACAGGTATAGTATAAATTTGTTCATGATATTACTGCGTATTTAATGTGTATGCATTCTATCTCATCCATTACATTCATGTACAAGTTCGTGTACACTAGAGTAGAGAAAGTAAACAACCCCCGTTTTCCCCTCAAGCAGCACCAGGGTACTCTTGCTAACTGTGTCCTAATCATAACGACAGTGATGGACTAGATATCAATGATAACAGGAGAGTGATGGACAAAACAACAATGACAATCTCTAAAAAACTTTATTCTAGTGCAGTCTGCATGCGGAAGAATTTAAGCGCCATGCAGCTTTATAGCTAGGATGTAAAACATAATACAGCGTTGCTTGGTTTTTACCTGCATAATAATTTTATCTCTCAGAGATTCCAGTGGACAGCTGTCAGAATTCAAATACATATGCATGTTACTATACACATGTGACATAACATAGAAATAATTTAACTTAAGTTACTACAATCTTTTTAAACCACATTCAAGAAATTGTGGTTTTTACACTAAAGCCAAGTGCATCCTTTATTTACTGTTGATATTCTTCCACTTAATGATAAATAAATAGTAAAACATCAAGCAATATTTGACCCTAAAGCTCTAGCGCAGGACTTGCTATGATAGTCTTAGCATAACAGAAGCAAGTTGATTGCAAGCACCTTTCGCTTATGTCACAACCATGCTAAGTTCTCATTGAAATAATGCTTCTCGCTAAGTGTATCTAATCTCTTGAAATACGTCTTAATACCCACTGACCTCGTGACAACTTAGCTCCATATTTTGGACTGACCATGTATTTTTGCCACGACTGACAGTATATATATTATGCACGTCAAATATGAAAATTGTATGTGAAGCAAAGTCAATTGTAGTTGTGATTCGGTTACTACTGATATTAACTGACAAGTATCACAGTGTCACGCAATCACACCTGATTCCAAGTGACATAGCCCTTACTTCTTCAAACTGAAATTCGGACTAAAAATTTATGATAAATATCAAACTGCCATCTGTTATTGCAATACAAAATGTGCGCATACAATGCTGGAGCTCTTTAGTAGGTATAAAGACACGGTGGTGGACGTACATCACTGCGTGTTATCAGCGTCACTATGGCCAGCAATAATGCGGCTGCCCCGACTACACCCATAAAGGTCTAGATGGGATTGTTGATCTTCTGTGGCCATAGCTCAGCCAGCTCCCGCCTTCAGCTCCTTGACAAGCGCTGCTACCTGGAAGAGAAATGCGCAATGTACGCTTCAATATATGTATACGAAATATAAATAAAAATTACACCGCGCATTCTTTGGCTTTTAATTAAGTAGTTGATGAAAATTACATTAAATTGTTATGAATGTGGAACTCAAAATTGATGTAACATACATGCTGGCATCAGGGCTAAATACAGAAATTAATTACAACCATGCTCACTTGGAGATCAATGATGACTTGATAGTATATATTATGAGCAGGTTATATTGATATAATGAACCTCCCATAACCAACCCTCGCAAGTGAGAAATTCTGTAATTAGTGTGATCCCTTATTCATTGATAGCCAATTTGCCTCGACAATTTTCAGAGAGGCATCATGAGTAGCGAAGCATGATTAATTGCAGCACATCTCTCTTAAATTGACTACGTCGCCGAATTTTCCATGGTAAAATTTGTAAAAAAAAATTGCCATTTTTTACATTAAAGTTAGAACTAACGTTACTAAATATATCCTCAAACTCTCACCTGATAAAAATGTTTTTACATTGGTTAATTTTGCAAAAAGCAGACGATTTGGTAATTTCTGTTGGTCTAACAATTCCCCAGTACTGCTCAGATACTGGCCGTCTTGTTTTTTCACCGGCAAATTAGGGCATATAAAGAAGGTATATAAGCATGAAAGAGTAAACAGAAACCACTAATTTGTATTTTCAGACATTTTATTTGTACAAATAACACACAAATATACTACTTGATGGTGCTAGAAATTTCGTGACGTAATCACTTTATATACATATATAAATAAATAAATAAATATATATATATACTCGAATAAGCCCTGAGCTTGCCTTTATAATTTACCTATTTATTGAGTTAATAATATAATTTTCCCCTGATATATTTATCCAGGTTACGGTTGGGTGTATAATGCTGCTTTCTGTGCACACTGCCCTACCTTAATTACAATCCTCAGTCTCTATATACTTGCGCCATTCTCAAAAATTTTACCACCGTAAAAACATCTTGTGGTATATCGTAGTTTCACTGGCGGTGGGTAGCTTGTTAGTTCATATTCTCATTGTTGCAAATGTACGGTCATCAAATCTACAAATAAATATATACACAACATCAGCACGCTATTTGGTGAATGCCTGCTCTGACAACGCCTGAAACCGTAACCTGAAACTTGGCCAGACATAGTAGATGAATTCAGAATATCGGCAGGTATATATGTTAAAGTTAAATCCTTGCCGCGCCTAAGTGGCGGTGCCTATCTCCGTTTCCTTAACCCGAGGCCACGCAGCTGCGTTCACAGTAAATACTACAGCGGGGGGTTAGTCCACTGCTGGTCCACTGGTAGCCACAAGTTCCCATCTCGCTTAACACTACGTGCCGTGTAACTAGTCGGAGAGCCTGGTCGGTTTAGTCCCCTGGTAGCACTGCGAGTTAATTTCCACGCTCTATATCTATTTGCTGAATGCTAAGCAGAGAAGCAGGTATATAAACCAATAAATACACTTATAAATACTTTGATATTGCACATAATATATCTATGTTAGAACTTATAACTTACACTACTTGTCATGACGTGCCTGCTGTCGTAGCCGCGAAATTGGAAAATGACAAACAACGAACTAGGTCACACCGTCTCACAAGTCTCTATCTCTCTCTCTCTCTACCGAGATCTCGCGCGAGAGAAGCTCGTCAGGGCGTGACAAAACCGCTATAAATTTCAGGTAATAAAGTAGGTAATTTAGATACACGCACTTTTAAATTATTTCCACCGAGGGATGGCGCTACCAGGTCATATTTAACTACATACACGACGCGGGTGAAGCTCTAGTTTCAATTAACATAAAAATAATAGCATAAACAATAAATGAGATAATTGAATCTATTCTGGAATCAATAGCGGTTTTGTAAATTCATACTGTTACACAGGAGCCGGACTTGGGGGAAGACGGGCAGCCAGACGGGGGACACTGCACAGCCAAAGAATGAGGGAGGAAATCACAGTGGTACGATGACAAGCAACTAACAGGAGTACAATAGCCTGAAACATAATAATGAATTAGTTATAATTATTATAATAAATAATTATTAGCATTAACATAATTGGTTTGTTTATTCATGATATAAGAACACGATAACAGTACTCATAATAACTTACCACGAACATATTTATACTATAATATTTATAATATACCATATATAATAACATATATAGGGACATGTATGAAGAAGAGGCCTGGACAGCCTCTACGGGACACAGCTCGACTGTGCTACCCCACGGGGATTTAGCTTGGTTTGTGGTTGCCATTATAATTGTTTATAAAAAACAAAAAAAATTCTTGTAAAAAAAGTTTTGTTAAGAAATTGCTACACTCAGTGTAGCAATTTCTTAACAAAACTTTTTTTA